ACCCTTCTCTAAGGTCTAATAAGGCCAAAACTGGTTAAAGCAGATATGTTGAGAGCGCAGCACTTTTGAGTAAAACCACCTGCAGACCGAACTAAATCGAATCATTGATTTATATTTACTACTGTTTATACTAGAAGACGTTACTTAGGAACACCTACAATCTTTTTGTATATGCAAATACTATACGTTTTTTTTTTTTGGAAGTCTTACTGAACTATGAACAAAAATAATAAGGCTTCGTTCATAATTTTAAATTTCTTCAAAATCTAAGTCGTAATAGAAATAGTAGTTAAAGTCAATTTCCGGAATAGCCTTCAATGCACGTAGCGATTCACATTTAATGTCTTCAATTTACCCAAAAAGGTTTCTCCGGAGCGGTGGTTTGTGTTTGCTGAATAGTTAGAAATCACACAGACCTAAATCAGGCGAATGCGGCTATTGAATTTATTGTTAAAAAAACTCACAACGAATCAATGTAGTATGCGACTGTACATTTTCGTGGGAAAAAACCAAAAATTGACGGCCCATAATTCCCGCCTCCTTTTACGAATAGCTTCGCGAAAATTACAAATAACCTTCAAATAGTGTTCCATGTTGATAGTTTGACCGGTCGAAAGGAATTCGCACTTCGATAAGCAAAGAAGACTCTCACATAACCCGATTTGACGTGGATTTTTCGACTTCGGTCACCTTTGCCACGATGTTCGGCCGACTGATCGTCTGCTTCCGGGTCGTAAGCATAGTTTCAAGACACTCATAGACACGTTAACGCACCGCTGTTTTTCGAAAAAATTCAGTGATTTTGGAACCAGTCGTGCTTTCACCTTATCTTAGTCCCAAACTAATTTTAAAAATGGTTTTCTCTCATTCTTCCGATATTCAAGACAAGCGTATATAAATTAAAAAGTCTTATAATTTTTTGCCCACAGTAGTAAAGTTTGCCCCTTTGACAAATTTTTTACATTCAAAGTTAAAATATTCCAATAATATATCTTACGTTACAGTTTTATTCTGATACCCGAAATGGAAATGACGTTTGACCAGCGCATACGGAAATCACAATTGCTCAAAGACAAGTTTTTTGCGTATGGTTCAGTTTGTTTAGGTTTCCGGTTTATATTGTGGATCTTGCAATCTTCTATTAAAAAACGTTTCTCAGTCTCAAAACTTTTTTGTAGTGTGATAGTTTTCGTTTTTTTTTTTTTTTTTTTTTTTTTTTTTTTTTTTTTTTTTTTTTTTTTTTTTTTTTTTTTTTTTTTTTTTTGTTTAATGTAATCGTTCGTCTTGCTTACAATGCTTTAACAGTGTTTTCCTAAACAAAATATTGCCGAAAATATGTCATTGTCAGCAATTCTCAACCAGCAACCATATAATTAAGCTTAGCGTAAAAGTGAGAACAGCTTTCCAAGAAGTAAGAACTGTAAGCCCTTTGCAATGGCAGAGTTAAGCAGAATAAGACACCTTGATTGAGGCGTAAAATTGAGACCCAAACCAAAAATTTCAAAGCCTTTAAGCAAGAACGCTCTTCTAAGACTTGCATCGTATTTTCATCGTTTTTATTGCTGCTTTCCACACAAGAAATCTTCATCAACCCCAGATTTCATTACTTGATAACTTCATTACACGCTCAGACATGTACACATACATACATACATGTGAGTGCAAACATAAAGGAGGATGTGTTTGCTGCGAACCTTAAGGGGTATGACTTTCAAAGGTTTTGTAAAATAATAATTTAAAAAAATAATACTGGAATTATTATCAATGCACCAATGTATATTTTTGTGGGTTGCTGTTACTAGTATGCGTAATTTAGATTCCAAAATCACCGAATTAAATTTTCAAAAATTTTTAATCCAACAAAATTTTATAATTTTTTTTAAAGAGAGAGAAATTAAGATGCGAATATACTATATATACATAATATTAAAGAATTTGATAAATATTTTAAGCTATCTTAGGTCAAAAAAGTGTTTTAGAACAGTTTCTATTTTCACAAATACTTCAAAATATATTTTTATTGAAACTTTGGGCCAGGCTAAGGCCCTGAAAATTTTTTGACAATACATTTATTAAGGGATTAAGAATAGTTATTGTTTATTAAATACAAAAGCAAGAAAAAAAATCCAAAAAAAAATTTTAAATTTTCTAAATTCTTAGCAGTCACACCCCTTAAAGCACATAGCCATGCCAAAAAAGTAGCAAAAATAAGTGAGTGATCCACATATGCGCTATACACGGATGAAAGTAATTAAACTAAGTGCTTACAACTCATTTTAATTGTATATTAATGGCTTTGGTTGATAAGCGAAATGAGCGCAAGCGATTAGAGGCATCTTATATACAAGTGCGTGGCGTTATCGGCAGTTACGAATACATAGCGGGAAAATAGAGATAAACTCAAATACATATAAACCGCCACATACACATTAGTACCTATGTGGCATTGCATTGTGAGTGTTAACCAGCTAGAATTTACGTTTCGCGTGATTATGGCGCTTTTGTGACCTTGACTCAATCGATGGCACACGATAACGGCACATGAAATATTTTCTTCAAACAAATGTGTTTAAGTTTTGCTTTATGCAAACATAAGCGTGGGCAGTTGACAAAAATAGCTGAAATTTGAGCAAAAACTACTCTTATTTTATCCATTTGTATATTATGTTAAATGTTACTCATACGCCGTGGGTGGCGCTATAAAATTTTACAAGTGCCAAAGCAACATAAATTCATATTTATTCTTGCAATTAATTTGTGAAGTGAATTGAACACGAAAGCAACAGGGAAATTTTATTAAATGATAAACAATGATTTAACAATTGAAATATATTAAAGTAAACATGGATTTTAGTATAAATATAGCTATGATGGAATGTTGCTCATACGCCATGTATGCATAATGAAGATAATGTGCGTAATTGCACTGCAACAAAAGTGCGTAATTGGAAATGTATATAACAGTTATCGAATTATTTGATAGACTCGAAATTTTTATTTGTGCAAACTAAAAGATTTCAAATTTATATCTATTCGGTTTGCATTGTTTTTTCGAATATGATTAAATTTAAGTTGTTTACGGATTTGTGAAAAATGTTGTCAGGTTGTTCACTGAGATTTGCCATTTCATCATGTCATGTTGCAACGCTTGGAAATTGTCCAAGAATATTACGCAAATTCACGTTCTTCGGTGGCAACGGCAGAGCTTTTCGCCCAAAAAGCACAGAACCCAGTAAACATTGATTCTTTAGCTTGGTACTTAAGGATGTATTTTAATTTAGAAATAAAAAAATAAAAAAATTGAAAATGTAAAAATGAAAATGGATAAGTCATATACTGCGAAAAGATGCTACAGAAATTTTCCAAGAAGCTCTGAACTAAAATCAACAAGCAAATTGTTAGAGAAATCGTACTGGGGCCACGTGGTGCATATCTCTACAAAAAGTAATCCATGAATTTTGAAAATATTGGAACAAACTAAAGATGCCAGCAAAAATCACCAAAATTAGTTACAAATAACTAATAGAGGTGCTCCAGGAATAGATACACGAAATCCGATTTCGCCTCAACATTGCTTTGCTCGATATCTTTAAAAAACTGTAAATGGCAAAGCACCATGAAAATTAGCAAAATTAGCAAATCGTTATAAAAGAGTATATGGGTGACTCATTAAATTCGTTTAATTGCCTGCTTCAGTTCTACCAAGTTTGGTTTTACAGATTTCAGACTATTTCTACCATTACAAATGCCTCCAAAGGCAAATTTATATAAAAAACAAAACACAAAGTCATCGTATTGATTTGGTACGCTTAATATAGGGTCTACCAACAAGAGCGACGTGATATTAAAATGTAATAAAATACTCCACTTTGGACAAAATGGGTTCTGCTTTTTTTTTACTTTTCATACTCCGAGTAAAATTGGATTAGATAATTATTTTGTGCGACTCGCTACTCTCTAAAGCTTGGCAAACCAAAGGCAGTTGTTTTAGAGATCATAGTGCTGAATATGTACTAGCAAAATTTCTTTATTATTATATTATTATAAAAAATAATTTTACCTTCCCAACTCATATATTAAATAGAGAGAATGGCTCTTCAAACTCTTGCATTAATTCTTAAAATATTCTGCCTTTGATTGAATAAGGATTAATGTGATATTCTGATACTTTGTAGAAGCAATAAAAATATTTAGAATATTCTTAAGCGACTTAGAAAATGTAATATAAATTAATAACTGAAATATTGAATCATGGAGTATCACTTTCTCTCCAGAAATTCTTTGCCACAACTCTTCAAAGAACGTCACAACCAGATTAGACTACATACGTGCGTGTGTATGCAGATGCGTCTTGGATAAAGTTTCGTTTGCCTTGTTTTAATAAAGTTCAATTTGTACAAACTTAGGACCTGCGGTTATTGCCAACTTAATTATTACAATAATACAATTACAGCAACAACTTGAGAACATGCAGAGTCTTCACCTTGCTGCACACACAGCGCTAGCACATCAAATTCAACTTAACAAAAACAAAACTAAAACCAGAAAAAAAAGCAAAACCTAAACCAGAAACAGAAACAAAAACAACAGCATGAAAGTCCAAAAAGACAAACAAATATAAAAATAAAGTTTGCTGGCTCCTCACCCACAAATTGTCAATGCAAAATTCAATTCACTAATGAAATTAAATGGAAATTCTTGTCTCTTTTTCAGCGTATTTTATTTTTTTATTATTGCTGGTATCTTACACGTATTTTTTACGTTTTACGTTTTTAATGTGCAGAAAAATCCGATTAATGTTTCTTATTTTTTTGCTTTTTTTTTTGTTGCCATAAAATATGTGCATATCTAAGAGAAAACAATAATAATATGCAAATTTTACATTATCTCTCATTGTTTCCACTTTCTCTTTCTCTTTTCCATATGATTCCTTTTGCCTTTGCGTGGCGCTTTCCTGCCGCACAACGTCATTGTACCGGTGCGTCTTCCTGTCGGCACAGTTTCCTGCAATGCGCGCGCTCTCCATCTCATCGGCGGATGCATTCATTCTGGTGTATGATGTCACCGATGCGTCCACATTCGAGGAGGTGCGCATGATACGCGATCAAATACACGAGACCAAAGCGACCACAGCTGTGCCCATTGTGGTGGTGGGCAATAAAATTGACCTAGTTGCCGAAAAGGAGGACGCCAGGAAGGTGAGTGAAGTGCTATTTTTTTAATTCAATTTAATATGGAGTATTGTCTCAAAAGGACTTGAAGCCTTAGTTAGGGAAGTGTATTGAAAATTTAAAGTGCTCTTTTTTTTTATTTATTGCTACAATATCAATGTTTTGCCCTAAAACAAAAAAACAAATATCCTGAGATTATACATGATTGTCTGTTCTCAGCTTTTTCGTGAGCTCTATTTAGTGAAGCTTGAAATTTATCAAACTGTAGTGTTTTTGTCTTCTCAGTGGTAAAAATTTAGTACTTTCAATTTTACACACTTAAAAATTTGATGTAGGGGATGAGTATTGTTTATCGACACTCTTCAGGACACTTTGAAGGCACGATTAGAATTTATTGTCCTACCCTGAACAGGGTGTATTAAGTTTGTCACGAAGTTTGTAGCACCCAGAAGGAAGGGTCGGAGACTCTATAAAGTATATATATAAATGATCAGTATGTCGAGCTGAGTCGATTTAGCCATGTCCGTCTGTCTGTCCGTCTGTATATATATGAACTAGTCCCTCAGTTTTTAAGATATGTTTAGAAATTTCGCAAACGTCATTTTCCCTTTAAGAAGCTGCTTATTTGTCGGAACTGCCGGTATCAGACCACTATATCATATAGCTGCCATACAAATTGAACGATCTGAATCAAGTTCTTGTATGGAATACTTTCACATTTAACAAGATATATTCACGAAACTTGGTAAAGATTATTTTCTAATTCAACAATGTAATATCCGAAGAAATTGTTTAGATCGGATTACTATAGTATATAGCTGCCATACAAACTGAATGATCGGAATCAAATGCTTGCATGGGAAACTTCCTCATTTGACGATATATCTGCACGAAATTGGGTATGAGTTATTGTTTATATAAGTAATGTAATATCGGAAGAAATTGCTCAAATCAGCTTACTATAGCATATAGCTACCATATAAGCCGAACGATCGGAATCAAGGACTTGTATGGAAAAGTTTCGCATTTGACGTCGTATCGTCACGAAAWTTGGCATGGATTACTGCTTAAGGTAGCAATATAGTCTCCAAAAAGATTGTTCAGAATGGATTACTATAGCATATAGCTTCCATACAAACTGAACACATAGTTACTAACWGAAATGTACCTGTGAAGGGTATTTAGCTTCGGTGCAACTGAAGTTAACGTTCTTTCTTTTTATTCATCACTTCTCAGGCATGTTGGAACAATTTGAAACATAGTATTTGCATCACTGCCAACAGACTAATTCTGTAAGCAAATGACAGCGAAGTCAGCAGTTTCCTTTCAAAGAAAAGTGAGAAAGGGGCAAATACGGTTGGTTTCAAACTAAATAACCGAGTGCGAGGTGGTGTCTTCGCTGCGAAACTAGATACCCAAATCGCCTTCCGTTTGCCAGACCACTGTAATGTCTTCAAAGCGGAGATCACAGCAATTAAAGAAAACCGTCTTGTTCTAAGTATATATATAGATAGCTAGACAGTTTTAAATTCACTAAAGTGTTTCATTCAAATTAGTAAAAGTCATATCACAGGGAACCGTAAAGCAGATGAACTAACCAGAACAGGCTACAATTATACTCCGGAAAAGAAGGAGTTCATGTGCATCTGGCTACTTCTAGATATCCAATCTACAAAAATGTTTTAAATGTAGCTGAATCTGAGTAGAATCAATCTCTGACTTGCTCAGCAAGCAGGCAAATGTGGCATCAGTGGAATTGTGGCCGTACATGACAATTATTACAATTTAAAGTGATTGATATAAGAGCTCTAGTAGAAGTACTAAAAGGTCACTGTATAATAGGCCGGCATACCCTTAGACTAGGAACACAAACATACACATATAACGCCTATTTTACAAGCTGCCAAGAGTTAGGATAGAAAGAGACTATCAAACATCTTCTACATTATTGTAAAGCTCCATACAACTTTTCGTACTGATGAACTACATCAGAAGCACTGTGTGGTTCAAAAAGGAGCCAATAGAATAAAGGGTTCTTTAGTTTCGTTGGTATCACCATATGCCTCCTAAAAGCCTATCATCAATCAATCAAACCAGATGGCATACATTAGTTAAATTATATATCAGTGTTTTTCCACAACTCTCCCTTATATGTTTAATGTTCGCTCATCTCATCGTATCATCTTAAGCAATATTCGTCTTCTCAACATTAATTAAATATCGAGCAATCGCAGATCATTCGGGCTTCTAGCTATATATTAGTATGAATGTGGTAAAGCATAACTTGTGAGAGTTGTTCCAAAGAGTTATTGCGAAGTGTGTTGAATTTTCGAAACTCACATCAGTATAGTTGTACAATATTTCTCAAAAAATTCTCAGGACTCTGTGAGATTATTTGCTCTCAGATACATGTTCAAGGCGGATCTATCTGAGCCTATATTGTATAAATTGCTAGGTAAAACTATACAGTTTTTTTGAAAGACCACTCTCATTTCCCAAATATTGACTTATTTATAAGGAAGGTATTCTACTTAACAACCGGCAAAATTTCATTTTTTCACTCTAATTGAGCTGCTTTCAACATCATATGATTTACTTGCTTCGATCTCTTCTTCTGAGGTCCAAAAACATGAACTTTAGTGTATAAAGTAGAAACCATTAGCTGCGAAATCACATTGTATAACTACTGACACATTGCTTCGCCTTTCTTTAAACTGAAATATGAGATCTTCCAATGTTGTTTTGGAAAAGAGTCTCTTCAACGGTTCATATATTCTTTGCTTTGTCGAGTATTTATCTCATCAGCGATCAATTTATGTTGTATTTTGATCTATGATAATACGCCTAGATCGCATGGATGTGGTTAATCGCTACCATAAATTTTACAACCACATATTTTAAGTTCCGCTACTTATTTTCTTCAATATAACTTTGTTTCGATCGACAAATGATGTTTTCAACAAATCCAACAAATTGAACCAAAAGTCTAAACTTGTCTCGACCACATACGAATATATCTTGCAAATAACTACGTTTACGAAAGGAACCGATCTTTTCTGGCACAAAAAAGGGCTTGGGTACTTTTGCGGAATTCATTCTCTAGAGAAGTGCAATTAACGAAAAGTTCTAGCTGGAAAAGTTGCTTTATGCCAGATTTTCCAAAATTAGCTTTGATATAACAAAAATAAACTATAATAGATATATAAACTGAGAAAAAAATTAAAATAAACAGCAAAAATGTAACAAAATTTTGGAATATGAAAAGCTACTGGGACTTTAAATGCTCTCAGAAAAATTTTATCCGAGTTGAGTGTTCTTTTTTCGCTCGCTTACTATAAAAATATATTGCAAGACGTTTGAAAGTTCATATCGAATAATAAATTAAGATATTTTCAAAATAATAGATACAGCAGGACCCTATACAATGTATACGGTTGGTTTTCTTGATTTCTTGAAAGACTTTATTTGCTAACCACTCGAATTTACTGTTCGGAGTTGTTCTAATAATATGGTTGCGACATGTCTAGCGTTCCAAAAAAACAGGCAACCACTTGCTTGGAAGTTCTTCGTGCGCTATCAACTTTCTTTGGATTCGGCTCATCCTCAAACATCCATTAAGTCGACTGCTGCTTACTTTCGGGCTCGTACGCGTAAATCCACGATTCGTCATCTGTCACGATTTCATCGGCGTGTTTCGAAACATAACTACCATATTTTTCAGACGTTTTTCTCGACCAATCCAAGAATAAATTTTTTACAGCGAAATATTCATGCAATATTAAATGTATACTGGTCCCATTGCTGCCTTCGGCTGTCTCAATCGCACAATAGGTCACATGACAATCTTTCCAGAACAACAACTAATTTTGGACGATCTTCCGAAATCAATTTTGGAGTGATCTACGACCTTGATTGAATTCACCATACCATTGATAAATACTCGTCCTTGATGAAGTTTCATAGTCAAAAAATTAATTATTTTCACTGGTGCTTTCTTGCTGAATTAATTCACGTCGCACGTAAAAAATAATCGCCCAAAAATGTTCGCGATATAGTTCGATTTTTTGAACGAGGTGAACATTTTAAGTTACTGTAAACAACATAAATAGCGGTCGCCTGTCTAAACGTTCTAAGTACGTATAACACCAAAAATATGAAACTTTAGGATAAAGTTGTGAGCCGCCAGATTGCACACTGGAGTTGCCAAATCTCGAAATAGACTAACAATGATCCCTCTAAATCCCTACAAAATAGTTGCCTAATTGTGCCACTTGGCACTCGCCCACTAATTGACTAAGCGGCGCTGTGCCTATGGCAGCTCAGTGAACAATTTGCTCATTACGCAAACGACTGCTGTTGTTGCTATTGTTTTTGTATTTGTCATGCGCCGTTTCACACATAATTTAGTTGTAATTTCATGTGCCACTTGTTCGTTTAGTCCGCACGAAATATATACGAGTATGCTGTGTACCGCTATTAAACGGTCGAGCGGACCATTGGGACACTGAACGCGCGCAAATTTCCGCTGCAAACTACAGTTATTATTCATCAGCATGCGCTTGATGGCGCATTCCTAGAGGAATACTTAGCATTGTTGAATGGTTGTTGTGACATTGGCACAGATTTCATTTTGCGCCCAAAAGGCACCCTTTTATTAACGCCACCACAAACGCTTTCTCATTCTCTCTCGCCCGCTCTCTCACTCTTTTCCTGTTGCGAAGATAATAAAAATGCAAATTTCCTTTATTTTAAAATGCTAAATTAACTTTGCTTATTGTTGTTTTTATTGCATTTTAGCATTTTCGTTTTTCGTCTATTTTCTTTTGTTTTGTTGTTTTTGGTCGTAAAAAGTTTTTAACATCATCAACAAATCCTCCAATATTCCTATGCAACCTGACTTTTAAACGGATTATTCAACTCTCGTGGCTGATTACATTTGTTTTTGCTCCAAAATAAGGTAGTCATAGGCGTGGGATGAGTATTTTGAGCAGGGGTTTGCCGAGTTAGTCCAAACTTCTTTCAATACT